CTTCATCCAATCGACCCCAAACTCGCTCCCAAGCCTTCATTCACGTACTAGGACCTGAAATATCACAAACAAGCACAACCTAGCGTGAAATCGGCCTAAAACACGAGAAATCACATCTCAAACGGTGTAAGAACAGGGGTAAAAACATGTGTAATTAACGGTCTATCAGCTCCCTACCAACAAAACACACACAAACCAAGTGAAATTCCCGACGCAACTGCAGAACTTCATCAAAAATTACTCCACCCCGAGAATCCTGTTGTACGCCTCTAACTATCTTGTCAATCACCCCTTTTGCATCTCCACGGAACTCCACATCCAAACAGCCCTTCGACAGTGTCCATCGCATTGCATCTCTGAACGCGAGTAATTCCACCAAGAACGGATCTGTTTGACCTGCATAAAGAAATCCCTGAGCAAATAAAACTTCACCTGAACCATCAACTACCACCACCCCTGCAGCACCCTGCGATCCCGTACAAACTGCACCATCCACGTAACATATCATCGACCTCGCACACTCCTCAACCCCAGCTTGCCCTGCCTCCACACCCATCTCAGCTCCCGTAGCCCCCAGTCCACGATCAATCCCCTCCCACTCTGCCACCTGATTTTGAAACTGACGCAACAACACCAATTCTCTATACGGAAAAGATCAAACACCACCCAGTTCCTAGACTTCCAAATTCGCCAGAGGAGGCAAACAACTTGCAAAATGGTTGTCGTGGACCCATCCCCAGCCACCAAGGCTTTAAAGAAACTAGCCACATTATTCTCCGGCAACTCTTCCCGCAATGCCATCAACCCCGATGCCTGCCACAAGTTAATGGCTACTAGACAATGCAAGAACAGATGTTCCATAGATTCTACCTCTGCACAGCAAACCGGACACGCAAGTTCACATTCCACCTCGTTATCCCACAAAGTCTCCATTGTAGGCAAAATCCGACGGAGGAGTTTCCAAACAAAAAACCACAATTTCGGAGGGATCTCAAAACGCCACACTCTTTTCCAGAAGGCAGAATCAAACCAAGAGACTTCTGATCGCCACCGACCATGCCGCCGACTAATAGCCAACGCAAGCTTGTATCCTGACTTAACCGTGTAGCACCCTGACTCAGTCTCTTGCCAAATCACCCTATCTGGCATAAGAGTACGAGGCAAAGGGATCTCTAAAATTATGCGGACAACATCCTCCGGGAAAGAGCTACACAAATAAGCTGTACACCACTCACCTCTATCCCCATCAATCAAAGTATCCACCGTCTGAGCTGGAAACAACGGCGCATAGGCCAACACTGGCAACGGCTGCTGCAGCTGCGAACCAGGGACCCAAACATCCTCACAAATATGAATATCCGACCCATTCCCCACTTGCCACCGCAAACCCTACACCAACAAATGCCTGCCCTCCAAAATCCCCTGCCACCCCCAAGATGGTCGTGACCTCCTTGTCACACTAAAAAAGATGTTTTAGGATAGTACTTCCCTCGCAGGACCCTAGCTAATAAAGACTCCGGCTCTAAATACAACCGCCAACCAATTTTTGCTAACAACGTCCGATTCATTAACTCAAACATCCTAAAACCAAGTCCCCCATCATGCTTACTCCGCGACAAATTATGCCAGGTGATAGACCGTTAATTGCACATGCTTTTACCCCTATTCTTGAGTTGTTTGAGATGTTGATTCTCGTGTTTTAGGCCGATTTCACGCTAGGTTGTGCTCGTTTGTGATATTTCAGGTCCTAGTACGTGAATGAAGGTTTGGGAACGAGTTCGGGGTGGATTGGACGAAGATTGGACGTTTGGAGAGAAGCTGAGAAGTCACACGGGCATGCCTAAAACCCACACGGCTGTGTAAGGGAACCCATGTGGCCATGTGGAAATTCCAGGGAACTCACACGGGCAGCCTGGAAATCCACACGTCCATGTGGTTGTGGCCGTGTAGGATGGTTGAAAGTCACTTAAACGAAACTCGGCGTTTTGACACTCACATGGGCAGCTGGGAAAGCCACACGACCGTGTGGCCTGCCCGTGTAGTCTGGAATTTCTGGGTTTTTACCCCAATTTGAGCCAAAGGAGAGGGGATCGACTTTTTGGAGCAAAAACAGAGCCCTAGAGAGAGAAAGTGCAAAGAACACCTCCTAAGAGTGGTTTTGGAGCTGGGTTTCATCAATCAAGCGTGGAAATCATCCTTGGAGTGAAGATTGACATCCCAGAGCAGATTCTTCCCATTGTTATGAGTATGACTTCTTTGTATTCTGTTTCCCTCTCTATCTATGGAGTAGAACCCTCTCTCACTTGGGTATGAGGAACCCTAGTTCCATGTGTTATGGATCTTGATTGTAATGACTTGGGATTGTTATACTGTTTGGTTTTAATCGAATGATGCATGATTCATTGAATCAATTGAAGTCTGATCATCTTTTCTTGATTTCTGTTGCAACCCGAGATAGATAGAATCTGATTAGGTTGTTAGAGCTTCATCATTCGGTAGTGGTAAATTAGTTATACGAGAGTTAGTCAATCTACTGCTTTGTACTAGAATCCAATTCCAGTAGTGGAGTTCTGTGTTCATTGCCTCAACGTTCTATCCCGGTGAAGGCTAGTCGTCTGCCGGGTAGTTGGACTGAGAGGGCTTGGTCAGCTTAAGAGATTCCAAGCTACTATCGGATCTTCCGCGGTTTAATCAACAGTAAATCAACCCAGGGTAATTACAACTGAGTTCTAACTAAGGAGCTAGGGGGACTCATTCCCGAGTGACTCTTCCTTTGCTTTAGAAAACCGAATCATTTCCTGCTTTCTTACTGCTTTTAGTTAAAACCACAATCAATCGACTTAGTTGGCTAGATAATAGATATTCACGGAGTAGGCAGTACATCTAGACCCCGGGTTGATAATTAGAACTTGCCACTTTACTGCATTTCCGGAGTGCGATTACACTTGGTCGCAGTTTGGTGTTGTGTTTTAGCGTGTCACAAGGAGACCCAGGCCTTCTTCGGCCCTGACGGACCACTACCCCACCAAAATCGGGCCATATGCTTATCCAATTTCCTGCATAACTCCCGTGAGAGAAGAAAACAACCCATATCATACAACGGTAATGCAGAAGCCACCGATTTCAATAAAACTTCCTTAGCAGCCCAAGACAAATGGCGTTGTTTCCACCTCTAGAGCCTAGCCAGTAGTCGCTCCTCCAGGAACCAAAAAGTCTCCGTCTTTGATCTATGGACTAAGGTCGGCAGGCCCAAATACTTATCATGCACCCCAATAGCCCCTACCTGTAAAATTGCAGCCATCTGCTGTTGATCCTCAACCAACACATTTTTACTAAAGCATACCGCAGACTTCTCCAAATTTACTTTCTGGCAACTCAACAATTGGTACTCCTGAAGCACTCACATCAAACTTGAACACTCTACTGGTGATACCTTCAGAAACAGGTAAGAGTCATCAACAAAAAGCAAATGAGAAATACTAGTGCTACGGGGACTAACTTTAACCCCTGTTAATCGTCCCGCCTCAATCTCTCAACGCAAGAGAGCCAAGAATCCCTCCGTGTAGATCGCAAACAACAAAGGCGACAAAGGATCCCCTTGCCGAAGAACACGTGTCGCCCTAAAATACCCAGAAGGCTTACCATTCATCAAACGAAGAAAGACGTCGATGACACCATTTCCTTCACCCATTCGATCCATACTGCACTAAATCCTAACTTCTCTAAGATAGCAAACAAGAAGGCCATTCAACCCAATCATAGGCTTTTTCCATATAAACCTTTAGGGCCATATACCCTTTCTTGCCATGCTTCTTGAGCTTAAGGTAGTGCATCATCTCATGGCCGATCAGAACATTATCCACAATCTGGCGATCTTTGACAAAACCATTTTGCTCCGGAGAGATAATATGGGGAAAAATTTTCGACAGTCTCTCAGCCATTATCTTGGATATGATCTTAGCAACCATCTGGCACAAACTAATGGGACGAATCTGCTTCATTGAAGTCACCGATTCCACTTTTGGTACCAACGTAATCCACGCATGATTAAAGCTTTTGAGTAAACGCCCACCCACAAAAAAAAAACTGCACATCATCCGTCACCGAAGGACCCACAATGTCCCAATAGACCCTATAAAATTTACCGGTGAACCCATCAGACCCTGGCGCTTGAGTCACCCCGATTGAAAAAACCACCCTTTTAACTTCCTCTTCCAAGATGGGAGCTATCAGCTCAGAATTATCCACCGCCGAGACCGTAGTCTCAATTGGCAGTGATCACCCTATCCCTAATGTCCTCCGTCTGACACTCCGATAAAAACAAGGACTCATAAAATCTCACCGCAATTGATGCTTTTCCTTCCTCATCCGTAATCCACTCCTCCCTTGAATCACGGAGGCCCTCAATATAATTCCGCCTATTCCGTACCTTAGTCACAGTATGAAAATAGGACGTGTTACTATCCCCTTCCCGGAGCCACCCAACCCTTGATTTTTGACGCCAGAAGACCTCTTCTGCAGCCCACTGGCGAGCCAAATCTGTCTCAAGACTATGAATGTAATCCCAGTCCACAGGTTGCTCCAATTTCAAAGCCTCTATCTCATCCTGCAAAGCTCGAATATTCCGGACCGAATTCCCTGTACCAGCACGACTCCAATCGTACAGTAAATGACGAAGGCGTTTAAGTCGCGTCCAAAGTCTGAACATCGGAGACCCACCAATATCCTCCTGCCAAACATACTGTACAAACAGTCTAACTTCCGGATTCCCCGCCGATCTAGCGTCAAAATGAAACAACGGCTAATTCCACACAAACGGCTTATCCGCTACCAGTAAAGCACGATGATCTGACCCCAGATCCGAACAGTGTCTAACAAAAGATTGAGGAAAAGACTTAATCCAAGATGCGAAAACCAAAGCCCGATCTAACCTTTCTTTAACACAAGCAACACCCATCCGATGGTTCGAACAAGTAAATGGCGACCCACTATAACCCAAGTCCTGTAAACCCAATTTATCCATACAAGAGCGAAGAGCCACAGCCGAATCCGGCGACCATGAAACTCCCCCACTCTTCTCAGTAGCATTCAAGATACAATTATAGTCCCCCACAATCACAAACGAGACGTGTAACCCATCACAAAAAGAGCACAACTCGTGCACCTGCTGCAAACGAGCACAGCAAGAGAGGTACACTCCCACAACCACATACTGCAACTCATTATTCTCATTCATAACACCACAAGCAATATAAAAAGAAGAAGAAAACAACACTGATACAAGAGCTCTCTTAGAAGATCCGCAACCTGCGAGTAACTACTCTCCTAGAAGATCCGATCTCAGAAAGAAACAAGAGCTCTGGATTATTCGTCCTACAAAGGCCTAACAGAGATCGAAATGTGAGGGAAGGCCCTATGCCCCTCACATTCCAAGCAATAAGTCTCATTTATCACATTGGGCCCCGTCACAGTCGGTTGCCTCCACTATTTTGCCACGATCCACTGCTGCACCAACCTGACCTACTTCAACGGCTGCAGTAAGCACCTCTGATGGAACTGAGTGAACACTCCCACCATCCACCTTGTCCTCCCCCATTCGCACCTTCTTCAGCTGAGTCGGATCTGAATGCAGGCCCTCAATAGTCCCAGCAACTCTCTTCTTTACTTCGCCTTCCTCCAGATCAAGAGCAGACATCTTGAAAGAATCCCGCCCTTCCAACCCATAAGCACTCCTCTACTGCTGCATATTCGGAGCTGCCATTCCTGGCTGCACCTCGCCTACCTTGGCCCCAGCCGCCTCTCCCTTAGCGTTCTTACCAGAACCAGCGGGCATAAAACCCTTATTATTTCCTAGCTCCATAGCATCACTTGAGAGTCCCTCTGCTTTACCAGTCTTGCCCTCAAATCTCTTTATACCAGCAGCCACATGACCTGTACCCCTCCCCCACGTTTGGCCTCTTGTTCCAGACCCTAAACCCATCACATTTGACTTACCTCTTCCACCACCAGCCTAGGCCTGAGGCTTTGAGTTAAAGCCAGACCCCTTAGTGCCCGAACTAGGAAAGGTCTGGGGCTTTGAGTGGGAACCAGACCCCTTAGCATCCAATCCAGGAGTAAATTTTGATCCCAGGACACCCACGCCCTTCTAACATTCAGCCTTCCCAGTCTCTGCCTTCTTGCTCTGCTGACCAGGAACCTGATCACTCCCAACAGAGCCCTTCCTTGATCAGCAGGCAACCCCAGCACCACTGTGCGGTGAGGTTCCCCATCATCCCCATCATCTCCCTTATGCTCGACAGCATGGTCAAATCCACCCGTCTCATGACCCTCAGCCTTCTTGTCACCCTTCGGATCAGGATTGATCCACACCGAGGTCTGCTATGATTAATCTAGAACCTCTCCTCCACACGATGCCCTGCGATGTTAGTGGACAGACCAGGGCCATAGTGCTCTATTCTAGTAGGAGCTGTGAATTTGCAATGCTTCCCCATATGGCCCAATCTCCCACAGTGATAACAGTACATTGGGAGAAATTCATAAATCAAACGAACCCAGAACTCTCCCACCACCGGGTTACTCGCAAACAATTGGGAACACAACGGTTCATACCCATTGATCTTGGTCTTAGCTTTAATGAAGTGATTTGGGTTACCTTTCACCGCATAAGCACCAACATCCACAACTTCCCCCAGCTTGGCCTCAGCCATCCGTTTCCCGAAGGCACTCGTGCGACAATGCGTCGGAATACCCCACATCTGCACCCAGAATGACACATGAATGAAAGAGTCCACAAGCTCATGTGTAACTGGCTGCCAAGGCTGCAGGTGCAAGACGTGATCCTTAACTGGCCAAGGAGTTCGCTGGAGCACCCGGTTGATATCACTTTTCGAGCCAAAGAAGAATTGAAGCAGTCCCATTTCTGCTTCCAGAACCTTGACTTTCAGAGCACACTCCCAGGCCCCATTCACAATCTTCTGGATCAGTGATAAGCTCGGTGGACTCTCCATGAACAGTCTGCCCAGCAGACTCAGACGAACCCACTTCATTCTAGACTCAACATCCTCAACAGCAAATTCTACCACCTGGTCAGCATCCACCACTCTCGAAACAACCTCCATCTTGAACACTCGCTGGGCAATCTAGTGAATGGCATACAAGGTTATAATCGCACCCAAATATGGAAAGATCCACATTCTAAAAGGATAATTAAACTGAACCCAGTTTAGGGTTACAATACCTCGAAGTTTTCTTTCAGGACTAAGAATCAGAAAGTTTTTCCCTTCGCTTCGACTCCTCCCTTCCTTGAATTGAAGCTCTGTGAACGTAGCCTTGCTTGGTTCGATCTCTAAATAGACTCCATCCAGCGCTATCCGCCACTTCCACCCCAATCGGGACTCTCGTACAGAGATTATCCCTTCACTATTTCTTTTTACTTTCTCAAATAAATCTCTTTTTGAGATTATCCCTTGACCTTCCATTTTTTCTTCTGCTGATAATTCCAATCCATAGTGCCATTTTCCCTCAACAATACCTCTTCCGAAACCCCACATAAGGATCCGTTCAAGCCTCGTTTCCCCCAATCGGAGAAAGAGCTCAATCCCTTCCTTGATTCTGATCGAGATCCTTCCCATCTCTATCCACGACCATCGCCTTGATGCCGTGTTCTCTGTGGTTTCTTCCTTCAAAACCCTAGCAGAGACGAACAAAGAGAAGAAATCGCAGACTATCGCGAGGAGAGACGAGAGAGCTTTCCGAAGCATTTTTTTAATTTGAGGGCGGCTTATGGTAAGTGGAAAAGCCCCATTTTTCCTCGTGTTTTATTTTCTTGCTTTTGTGATTTATTCTTATCACTTTTATCCTTCGTTGCTCTTTCCCTTTAACCTATGGGTCCGGATTCCGTGACTAGGGGGTGCTTAGTCACTTGACTAAGCCCCTCCCAGCCTTTAGATCTGGACAAAATAATCTGACGGTTAAAAAGTGGGAGGAGTTATTTAATTAATGACAGGGGTAGTTTGGGTATTATGGAAAATTAAGAAGTATACAAACCGGACTTACAAACAGTAAGAACAATACAAACATACGAACAGTACAAACTAGAGCTATAAAACATATAAACAAATTTACAAACAATGCGAAACATACGAACTATACAAACAACACAAACTAGACCGACAAACATTACAAAACATACTAACAGTACAAAAATGCAACTACTTACAATCCAAAACAGTAAACTTGTATTACAAATCAATGAATACAAAGTATACAAATCACAACATAAAGTATACAAACTAGACAAACAAACATTACAAATAAAAATGTATACAAATTAGTCATATAAACATTACAAACATAACATATAAAAATGACAAACTAGAATGAGAAATGGTACAAACCGAATTGATACAAAATCACAAAACATACTTACAAACATTACGAAATCATCCGACAAACATAAAAAACAGACGTTGTCGCCGGAAAATCCTCTCCATCGCCGGAAAAGTCACCAATGACGAAAAAGCATCTCTCTCTCTCTCTCTCCCTCTCTCTCTCTCTCCGCGCGCGATGAACTCCATGGATGGGGAATAAATTTCCCAGGCGGCCACCTCTCCCTGGGTAAAAATGCAATCGGCAAATGGACCGGGAACGGAACGCCAAAAAAATTTTCAGGGTGTTGGATCTGTGGCCGCCGGTCGAAATGAGAAACGTCGGGAAAATTCCCGGCCAGGGAAGAGTGACGGGGGCACGGGGCAGAAATATAAGAATTTTTAATTAATTAATAATTTGAAAATTAATAAAGTCATGCAATTACTACATGTCCTCCATTTAATGAATTAATTTGAGTCATTGGATTTTAATGAGGTGGAAGGGCTGAGATTGACTTAGCCAAGTGACTAAGCCCCTTCCCTTAGCCACCTGATCTTAGCCCTTTAACCTATCAATAGGGATGGTTTCCTACCCTTTCCTCTCCTTGTAGAGATGCTTTTGCTCCCCACCTAGCTGGAATTACATATCTATGCGAATGATTCTTGTGCAGTTGGTGTGACCTCGTGCATGTAATTAAGTTTGATTGTGTGGCTTGAATTAACTAACTCATCTTTAGCCAAGTATAACTCAAGAAGACTTTGTTATTATAGTGGTTGACCAAGGTCGTATTCCACGGGTTTGGATACCCTAGGTACTTCTCACTTTGTTGTTATCTAGTCGTTCAGTTTAGGGTTGTTTTGGATGTCAAATGGAAAACATTGGTGGAGAAAGCAAAGATAAAAGTAGGTACATCGGGGTATCGCCCTCGCTCTAGATTTAAGTCTACCATGAAAGGGGTTCATAATGTCATGTTTGAGTAAATAAGGTGCGAGACTCGCTAAAGTATGGACTAGCTCAATGGTCATGCAACTAGCCCCCTCCTAGCACGATTTCCTGACCCAATGCCACCTCGATGAGGTTCACGATGCTAGGGATGCCTTCTAGACCCTTCCAATATGTTAAACCTATATGCACACTAGATCGACATGTTGATGGTTATGCACTCATCGCTCTAACATTGCTTATGAGGGCTTCTCGATTGGTAGAGGATGGTCTCCTCGTCAACCAATCGGATCCCTAAATCATTGATTCGGGGCTAATTACACATATTTAACCCCTCGTTTCTTAATGGTTTGACTTTGCAATTCATCGTCCTTTGACCTGTTTTACGCTAGGTTGTGCTATTTTTTTTACATTTTAGGTACTAGCACGTGTGGAAGGGTCGATGACGAGTTTCAGAACGATTATGGGTCGAAAAGTGCCAAAAAGTGAAGAATGGTAATATATCACGGTTTGGACATGATTGTCATGGTTTATGGGCCGGTACAATTGACCAGAGGGCATGAAGTTGCTGAGGAACATAAGATTTTTGACGTCTCGTGGGCCTAAAACGACAATAGAGACCTGCATTTTGGATGATGTCATAGTGTGTGGTCCATTGTCACGGCCGTGACATTCTACCCCTGATAGTGACTCTCAGGCTGTATAAATAGAAGGTAGTTAGGAGAGAGAAGGGAGAACTGAAACTTGGTTGGATTTTAGATTTTATGGATTCCCTTATGGGGTTCCAGCTGAAAGCCCCTAAAAAGGAGGAAGAATTCTAGTGAGAGAAAGATCTTCTTCTTGTTAAGAGAGAGAAAGTGAAGACCAAAGAAAGAAGAAGGAGATTTGGGCTTGCCCTAAGCTAGAGGTTTGAAGGCTTTCTTCTCTCAAGGGTGATTCAAGCAACAAGGAAGGAGGATAGTCACCACACCATGGTTCTTTTATTAATCTTTGTTGTATTCCCTTTCCTAGCTATCGAGTAGTGCTCCTTCTCACTGGGGTATTGTGAACCCTAGTCTAGATATGTGTTAGGATGTAAGAACTTTATTCTATGTGTGTTGATTGAATGCTTAATATATTATTTGAGATATTATTCATGTATGATTGAGTGTTGCTAGCTTTAACACATTACTTGGTCATTTTGACCTAGGTGGAGAGAAACCCCTTTTGTTAGAGGCTTTGAGAATCTTGATTTCTTGGCCAATTTCGAGTCACCCACCTATGCGAATGAGGACAAACCTCAAATATCAGATTAGTGCCTTGATTCCATCTTGATTGGTTGCTTTTCATCGTCCGGATTAACTTCTGAGGGATTGGTTCTTGAAATCCTTAGTTGATTGGTTAAGAGAGCTAGATTTCTTAGATTTAAGTTGAAATCTTTAGTCGAATGGCTAAGAGAGCTAGGCTACCTAGCTTATAGTTGCAACCCTTAACTGGTCGACTAAGAGAGTTAGGGCTTCCTAGCTAGTTTCACCCACCTCACGTCATATAAACACATCCTTCACACTAGAGTATTGTTCATTGTTTCTTAACATGAGATTAGGGGGAGCAATACCCGAGTGAAGTCCTCTCAAGTAGAATTCTCCACAATTTACTTTTCTTGCTTATTTATTTTGTAGTTTTCACAATTTTAAACTCCAAATCGTTTGCTAGATAACAACCTAAGCAATGTAGTAAAAAAACAAGTTTCTATGTGTAAACCTTTTGGTGATCTAGAAGCGTAATGACTCGTTCTAACTACAACATCCCAATCGCGGGCCAAGTATAACCGGCGACCGGGTGTAGCATAGGGCAAGCAAGCAATAATAATTTATCGTACCACGGGGATCTAGGCTTTCCCTACTTTAGGTTTAGGGTTCGTTATCTAGCCAACCTAGGATAATGATTAATAAAACTAAGCTAACTAACCTAGACCAACCACTAACCTAGCTATTTACAAGGTTTGGAGCTCTCCTAGTTTAAATCCCCCTATTCCGACCTTTGGATTGATGTTGAGTACCATCCTAGCTTAATCGACACACTATCCTACCGTTAGGAGATGAATTCCCTCGGGACGGACCCGATCCAGTGATGATGGACGAGTGGTGCTCAATTCAACCTAGGACACCCCTATATCGTAGGAGTTCAGTCCAATCGACTCCCTCGGGGATTACCCGGACGATATGGGATAAGGAGTTGTTTCCCTCCTAGGTCAAAAGCACGATTGAGTCAATTACTCTACCGTAGGAGATGGACTCCCTCGGGAATGACCCGGAACGACAAATTGATGAATGTGGTAGGCTCTATTCAACTTAGGGAAACCCTATATTGTAGAATATTGATGGAATCGACTCCCTCGAGGCTTACCTGAATGATATAGAGTGAGGAGCGACCCGAAGACGCCAAGAATGGGCTCTAAAGGGATTTTCTACCTCACAGGTCAAAAGCTCAATACATGAAAATGGAAACCCAACTCATGTCATTCATGAAAATATCCACCAACTAAGTAAAATCATCAATCAAACATGGAATGTGTCACATACATCAACATTAAACCCAAACCTAGACCTAGGGTTCTTAAACCAAGAGAAGAGGGTGAGTTTCTAGAGAGAGAAGAGAGAGATTACAAATTGGGCCCAAGATCTTCTTCTTCTTCTTCTACGCTTGAATCCTTGTCTTCAAGATCAACCCAAGCCTCCAATTAAGCTCCAAGATCACTCAAACACACACACACACACTCTCTCTCTCTCTCTCTCTCTCTCTCTCTCTCTCTCACTAGAACTCCCCTTTGGTGTTTTGGGTTCAAACCCTAGAGAAAGAAACCAATTCCTCTCCAAAAACTAGCTCCCCCTTTCTCTCTCCCGCGCTGCTGTCTTCATATTCGCCAGAAAGTGATCAGTTCACGGACGCATTGGCCGGTTCATGGCGGTGAACACCTAAACGCATATGTGAACTCAATGTCTTCCAAAATGCACCACTTCACTCTCCTCGGTTCATGGTCAATGGCCCCAGTTCACGGTCTTAGAGATCGTGAACTGCCTTGTCGTCAGTAACTTCTGGAACCTCGCTGGACGCCTCGGTGTTCACGATTTGTGGTCCATGTTCATGGTCTTAGGACATCGTGAACTGCGGTTGTTTCCTGAATGCCTTCACTTCACTGTTACGGGGCAATTGTCATGGTCTTTGAACTTTTCTTTGGTTTTGCACTTTTTGAACTCCAATTATCCTAAAACTCGTCCTCAACCCTTCCACACGTGCTAGGACCTGAAATGTATCAAAACAAGCACAACCTAGCATGAAATATGTCAAGGAACAATGAAAAACTAAGCTAAACGAATAAGAAATGAGGAATAAATGTGTACATTTGGGCCCGAATCACGTAAAATCGTAAGTTTTAAAGCGGAGTTTTTAACTACATAAAATCGT